CTAGTAATCCTTAGTGATCTTTTTATGAAAAGTGTGGTTTTGAAAGTAAGAGTGTAAGTTCACAGTATGTTAGTAGGACCTATTGAGAGTGAGCTCCATCATAGCTTTTTTTTTTTTACGAAAGCCTCAAATATTCACATTCACATCCATTGTTTGTTTATATATATATATATGTTCAGTTTTCTAAAAACTAACAGTTTAATCGATAGCCCCTGAGGGAAATAAGACTGGTATAGGCCAAGTAAGGAAACGAGGTGAGGATCACTGTTCAGATGGTTCAGTTTCACTTAATTCCTGTTTTATTTCATACTGCCTTCTGCCGTGTCCAGTATTCCTGAGTCTAAAGCCTGGAGTCTCAGTGGAGTTGGTAAAGAGGTAACTTCCTATCTGAAAGATCATAGGTGAAGATCTGAGGTCAAATTTCTCCTCTAAAAGTATTTGTACAAATCTTCTTGTTAACCTCACACCTCACACATCTTATCACTTTCAGTTTTTGAGTTTTTGAGTTTTTGAGTCTTTTCTGCATTGTTGAAAGAAGCACAATGATGGAGCTGTCCAGCTCTACGGTTTCCAAATATGAGAGGCTTAATGGTGTCAATACTGTTGGAGGAAGAGATTAGGAAACTGTCTCGAATCTGAGTGATCAGCCTCCGGGAAGCCTGTCCTCTTAAGCACAGGGCAAGTCTCAGTGAGAGGGGCAGCTGTGAGTTATCAGCAGTTACTAGTGTCATCAGCGAGATGGGTGGGTGCATGGGCCCCGGAGAGGTGATCTGGGAGGAACCACAACGTCTACTAGGGAGACAGTCAGAGTCCAAACACAAATATGAACTCAGAGAGTATTTGGGCTTTATACTGTGAATGGACAGTTACTAAAATATTTTCAACAGGGAATGGATGTGATGAAATTTGCATGCTAGAAAGATGTCCGAGGGAGCAGGATAAATGTAGACACAAAAAGATAAGAATAAATGCAGAGAGACCAGTTGGGAGGCTATAGCAATAGTGTACAAGATACAATATGAAGATCTGAAATAAATACATTGAAGTGGAAGGCTAGATTACTAGGAGGTGGGCTCAATGTGATTCAGGGATTTACCAGAAAATCCAGATGAATTGTAGACAGGTACCAAAGGTAACTCTCACAATTGTGTCTACAGGGATTCAGTTAAAATGATATAATTAACAAAAATTGGGAATATAGGAAAAGGATCTGGTGTTATATAGATTCAAGTTGAATCCACAGTCATCTCAGGGGATACCTAAGGCCAAAATGTCATCTGACAACTGATCCAGAATCCACTATATCACCTGCATCTTTTGTTGACTCATAAATTTATTATTCATGTTGTATATCATTTTTAGTTAATTTATTTTTGCCATAAATATATATCAAGAATGTAATATGTATTGGGCACTATTTTAGATAATGGCAGAAAAAAGTGGTAGCCTATTTACCTGGTAAACTAAGAATAGCAAAGCAACTGATGGGATCTTTCATAATATTTTTCTGGGCAAAATGAAGAAATAGGTTCATATCAGACAACTCAGTACACTTGTAAGTGGTTGGATGGCTTATTCAATATGTGCTAAGAGGCTAATATTGTCTTAAAGGTTGTATCTAAACTTGGTCCTCAGCCTATTTTTTTTTCAAATATCTTGTTAATTATTTGAATAAAGGTACAGAATATGTGTTCATCATATTTACTTTTGAGAGGGTGAAATAAATATAACACAAGTAACTATAGTTATTTTTACTGACTGGATAAAAGAACTAAGTTTAGATGAAATATAATAAATCAATTTGTGTTTGGGGAAAAATACACTTATAAAAGCACACAACTGGGACAGCGTGGCATTCCAAAAAGCGAATATGACCTTCAGTTTTATTGGTAGAAATATAGCATATGAAACAAGAATACTGAAAGTACTGATCTATTCCACATCCACTAGGCCGCTGAATGGTTTCAGTTGTATACATCATGCTTTCCAAAAGGCATCCATCCCAGAAAAAGCAAAATCAGAAAATCAGGGCATTGAAAGCTTAAAGTTATAATACATAAGGAAGAGGTGAAGGCAATGAAAATATTTATCTTTAAGAAGTATAGAATTGTTTGGGTGTAGAATTGTTTGGGGGTTATATAGACTGGGGAATATACTGTTACATCATTGAATATTTGATTCAAGGCTTGTGGCTAGGATATTATTTTAAATGTATTTTTAGAGTAGACCCAGAACCAAGGGGTGAAACTTTCAAAGCAATTCTCAGAAAAGGATGTGGTCCTCTTAATTTTTTTTTTTTTTTTTTTTTTTTTTTTTTTAACCAAGGCCCCCTAATTACTTGGCAGATATATGGTATGTTATCAACAAATTTAGTTTTGAACTAGACAACCTTTAAAAAATACCTTGAATGCTGAAATTCTCTGATTGTGTAACCTGAGGACTGAAGGACTACATTCAAGGACTAGGGTGTTTTCAATCTTTTTGAGTTCAGTTCCAGATGCACTGGGTCCTTTCAGGCACCATTCATTATGCATCCGACCCACTGCTGTGTCCTCAGCCAGCAGAAGTGAGAAACTCAGGACCTTTCTTGGCACATGTGTGTCCTTGAGGTTCTGAAAACTGGGAAAATGGAAGGAGTAGGTGTTTCCAAGGCATTCAATACTTTGGTTTAAAAAAAAAAAATGCTAAAAGGAATAAATTTAAAGTTAACCTTTCATTTTGACAGAGTTTCTGTGGATCCAAGACTTTCGGCTGAGTCACCAAGTCAGCCACAATATAACTATTTCAACTGACTAGGAATATTATTTCTGAGTCACAGTAATGTAATGATCTGAACATTTACATTTTCTCAGTCACCTAGTACATACTAACTTCACTTCAAAGCTGAATAATATATTAAAGATAGTATTGCTTATTGAATACTACACTGTATGAAAATACTGTAGGTTAAAAATCACTTAAATTCATTAAAAATGTTCAACTATCAAGTCCTATTTCATAATAAACTTTCCCTCAGAAAATATGCAAGGAGTAAACAATACATGACTCATTTATTAAAGCTTCCATGTTTTTATTGCAAATTCCTAGTCAGGTTTTGGAATAGATACTTCCCTTCTATAATTACCATATTCTCTGAGTCACTAGGTTTCTAGATGTTGACAGGAAAGCCTGTTCCTATGTCCTTGTACTATCACATGTGGGCAGGATAAAATGTAACTCTAGAATTTGTACTAAAGGTGGGTGGAAGTTCCACTCTTAGATCCAGGCACCCTCAGGCTCAGCCTGAGCCCTGTGATTTGCAGTCTTCTCAAGCTATTATTATGTAAAAATAGATATCTTGGGATATTATTCAAATGCACTCTGTGATCCCTTAGAGCTGGGGTTGGGGCCTAAGAACTTGCATTTCCACAAGTTCTCAAATGATGCTGACGTTGCTGGTCCATGGACCACACTTTAACAACAACTGACTTAGTAATTCCCGTTCTGTCTCTCTTTTAGACAGACCCTTCCCCCACAGGTTGTAGTTCTTGTGACTTAGGGAACCTGCCAACTCAGAACCTGTGTCCTTTTTTTCTAAGCCACACTTTGGGTATCCAAGACCCCAGAATTACTGGTCCAGACATCCTCCCAAAACTGTGCATACCTGTCCCCAGTCTGTCCTTGCCATAGAAGACTCCACCAGTGTGTACACACCTGTATCTAAGGGTGGCCAGAAAATCAGCTATTTGAAATAGGTTAAGTTGTGTGGGTAGGGGTTGGGGGGTGGGGTGACACACAGATGTGCCCCATGCAAAACCTCCCCTATTACAGGGTGGAGAATGGAGTAGAAACAGAAAATAAATGGACTATGATTAGAGGACCTTCATTGTTTTCTTGCTCCAGTAGGCAAGTGTAGTGTTGGTCTTGCCCTTATACCTACTTATGTAAATGACAGGGAGAAATCCCATCCTGTTATGACTTATCCCTGATTTTAAGGATCTGGGACCACAGGCGATTCTTGAATGGTTCTATTTCATGAGGAAGCATTGCATCTATAGTGCTCTTCTTAGGGTGAATGAAAAATGTTTTCTTCCTTCCATGTAACCCTCTACACACTTTTCCCAGATGACCACAAATGTAGCGGATAGTGTATGTGCTTTGGATTTCAGCTGAAATACGACTAACTTCCTGTATGAATTAAAGCAAGTCAGTTGACCTTTTTGCCCTCAGTTTCTTTATCTTTAAAATGGGAGTAAGAACGCCTCCCTGTTCTCTTCCATCTCCTTCTTATTTCCACCCAATTTAATTTGATGCCATTTTCAGTTTTGTGTTCAAATGCTACCGTCTTTGATTAGATCACGTGCCTGTATCATCTGGAAGTAACTTCTCATTGCACTTGCAACTGTTTGTCCTTGTTTTTGTGGTTTTGTTTTGATTAATGTCTTTATAGCTCATTGGACTCTGAGAGAGCAGGGATTATGTCTGCTTAGTTCCCTGTTACATTCATTCTATCTTGCACAAAACTTGGCACCTGCTAGATGCTAAATCCCCATTTGCTAATGCACAGATAAATGTGTGATTATTGTCATAATTAGAGAACACATACTAAATGACTGGCACATAATAGGTGCTTAGTAAATGACAGCGATTGTTTCTCAGTGCAATTTATGCTATAAATATTTAATTTTCTTTTCTCATATTTGACATATGGGGAGAATGGGGTGAATTTGAGACAACTACAATTTAAACTGTCCAAGTCAAGAAAAAAATGTGGTGTGATAAGCTACTGGCCTCAACAGCTGGAAGCATGACACACTTTTTAAAGACTTAAGAAATGAAATATCCAGTTTAAATCAAAGGATAATAAAGGCAAGAAAATGTTGTATTTGCCAGATTTCCTTGCCCTTGCCCCAGCCCAAACTCTAAAGAGTGCATCTTCTTTAAAAGCGTGTGGTGAAACTAATTCCCTACCCAAGTGTTCACACCAGAGTCACTGGCCTCACCCTTCTTCTTCAGAACTCAGGGGTTATTTTAAAGGTCTCTTTAATATTGGCCAGTCCAAATATTCTCTTGTCAAATATTTCTGGGGCCTGTACTTGAAGAAAGAAATGATTTTCTCAAATCTGTGAACAGGACACTTTTTTTAATGTCAAAATAAACCATCTGCTTGTACAACTGTTTCTAATTACTTCCCTGCCTAGACTCTCCACTGAGGGGTTTGGCACCAGCACCCCGCCCAGAGCAGTGCCGCTGCCCAAATCCTCGCAGGCAGCTCATCAACGCAATTGCAACTCCGGCTGGAGTCCCGGACCTGCAAGCCTGGGTGTCCGTGGGTCCGTCTGCCCGGCCATCTGCTGGTGGCACCTCTCCCTCCTGCCGCCTCCCTTGGTGAACCCCACCTTGCAGAAGTGCAGCTCGCCCAGAGCAGCCCAGGAGCTCAGCATGCATCCCCCAGGCTTCAGGAACTTCTTGCTGCTGGCGTCCTCCCTTCTCTTTGCTGGATTGTCAGCTGTTCCTCAAAGCTTCTCGCCATCTCTGAGGTAAGTTTGGTTTGTTATTCTTCAGTAGAGACCTGCCCTGCTTATGTGGCAGGGCTCAAGCTTGCAGGATGGCTGCCCTAAGCCAAGAGTTGTTACTAAGTTGGACACGGGATAAACTGTTTTCAACCTGTTCCATTCCCTCTCCTTATATCTACACTGTGCATTGCCTCATGTCTGTCCTTTTGCTTTTCCTTTGGAAAAATGCAATCAGTGAATAAAAATACAATTTATACTCCTGCAAATATATATCAGGAGGAATTTCTGCCACGAGTTAAAATTCTATGTGTACCCGTATCTTCTCACAATCTATAAAGCAGAATGATCTCTGTTTCCCAACAGCAGCAACAGGTCTGTATTACATTTTGTATCACATTCGGAAAGAGACGGAGGCACATTGCAATAGTGAAACTAAACTTTTTAAAAGTAGAGTTCCTAAAGACTGCTTAATGCAAATTATGCCCGATGCTATCATAACATGTCTAATTCTTTCTATATATTCACCTCTTCTCTTCCATAATATAACTGCCCATTGGCCATCAGATAGCAGTGGGACATTTTTTAAAGGAAAACTGAAAAGTCAGCTGAGTGCCATACCTTGGATTACTTTGTATTTAATCTAAATGTGCATATAAGATTCAGTGTCAAACTACCAAAGAGCAGGGCAGATCACCTCTGTTCACCTGGAGAAAGGACCTGTGTCCGGGGGTCAGGTAACCGCCTTACATGTTTTGGGCCCTGGTCATTTCTCTGGTGGGTGGTACCTGCTTGCTTGGGAAAATATAGCCCTTCCAGGCAGCGCTTGGACCGCAGAGAGATGCGGGCCTCAGACTTCCTGTTCTTGGGGTTGTGCGTCTGCACCTGGAGGAGACACGGGGGAGGAAACGTGGGTTCGGAGCAGGGGGCGGTGTCCGCGTCTGACCCCGCCTGCCGGTTGCTTGTTGCCCGCGCAGGAGCTGGCCGGGCGCCGCCTGCAGGCTGTCCCGGGCCGAGTCGGAGCGCCGCTGCCGCGCACCTGGGCAGCCTCCGGGGGCCGCGCTGTGCCACGGCCGGGGCCGCTGCGACTGCGGCGTCTGCATCTGCCATGTGACTGAGCCGGGCATGTTCTTCGGGCCCCTGTGTGAATGCCACGAATGGGTGTGCGAGACCTACGACGGGAGCACCTGTGCAGGTAAGGGGGCGACGCTGTCTCCTCCTTCGGGAGGTAGGAACTCCTCTTCTGGGATTTCTGCCACTCCCTAGAAGAGTGAAGGGTGGGGACACGCCTCCTTTCACGTAAGCACCAATTAAGTTACCGCACTTGTCACACTTTGGCTAGTTAATTCTGCCATCATTTATCACAATACTTTTATCCCCCAGGCTTCGAACTTGAATGGAAGTAATATTTTAAAAATTCATTCACTTAACTATATATTTTATTGTAAGTATATATTTTATTGTAATTATGATTTTTTTTTAAGATGGGGTCTTATTATGTTGCCCAGGCTGGTCCCCAACTCCTGGACTCAAGCCATCCTCCCTCCCGGGCTTCCCAAAGTGTTGGGATTACAGGCGTGAGCCATTGCACCTGGCCGTCATTTGCTTAATTCTAAAATCTCACTTGCCTCTAAAGTTCCTCATTACAGACTAAATTCCCCAATGTCCTCACAAATAGAGTTATTTTACTGGGTTCTCCTATCCCTATCAAGAATGTTAATCATAATATTTGTAGATCTTAGGCCTGTATTTTATTTTACATAGGAAACAGTGGGAGGGGGAATGTATTATTTTCCTCCATTCTAGGGGGGCAGGTTTTGCCTTTGAAGCCTGATTAGCCCTCTCATCATTAGAATATAGTTCACAGGCAGGAGTGTGTATCAGAAAACGATAATAAGGAAAAAAATAAACAGGCACATATTTACTTAGAAGTGACTGTTTCTGCATTGTTCTAGCTGCTTGAATTTTTGAGTTGCAATGAAACTTGGTATTTTTTAAGGGTGGAGTGAAAATACATTCATTTTCCTTGCACATTTTTAAGGAGTGATTCAGGTTCTGATATTGGAAAGGGTCAAAAAATTCCTTCCCAGAGAACACCCTTAACCTCTTCACCTGTTTCAGATAAATGTGTCATTTTACTTAAGGCCAAGAGCTTCAATTAGTGCCTTGTGAGTGACACAGAACTCCATTAGTGAAAGCACAACACAATGCATTCCAGACAGGGTTTGGCAAATTTGTAGGAAAAACTAGCCACTTATTTTACCCTCAATGTAGCTAAGACTAATAAGTCAGCCAACACTAACATAGAAAGATCAAGAATGAGTTTATAGCAAAATAGTTTTTTCTTGGAACCTGGGCCCAGTAGTGTGTAAGTTAGGTTACTTAACATGCAGGCTGCTTGGCAATGCAAAAAATAGTCATAGAAGAAATTTGGAGGGGCGCAGGTGCATCTACTTTGTTTGTTTTCCCTGTGAAGGCTGTGAATCAACCCTTTAAAAATACTGGATGCTGGGTGGGGTGGCTCATGCCTGTAATCCCAGCACTTTGGGAGGCCAAAGCAGGCGAATCACTTGAGGTCAGGAGTTCAAGACCAGCCTCGCCAACATGGTGAAACCCAGTCTCTACTAAAAATACAAGAATTAGCCAGGTGTGGTGGCATGTGCCTGTAATTCCAGCTACTTGGGAGGCTGAGGCAGGAGAATTGCTTGAACCTGGGAGGCGGAGGTTGCAGAGAGCCAAGATCATGCCACTGCACTTTAGCCTGAGTGACAGAGATTGAGAATTCATCTCAATAAATAATAAAATGAAAATATTGAACACCACAACTTGTTATTTAACTTTGTAGCCCTACAAGCTGCAGTATTATTAAGGGTAGCCCTTTGGAATGAAAGCTAAGTTATCGCCTAATATTTCATTCCGAATTTGACTGTTACTTGGCTTCTCTGACTTATGGCCTCTGGCAAACCCTCTTCAATATCATGAATTTTGAACAAATTTTCCAGGGCATTTTCTCTTGTTTTATTACAGACATAAGAGGTAAGATGCAGCCTTTAACTGGGGAGAGTTCTGAGTACCATCAGATTCACTTTCTCTGTTGAAGAACCTAGGCTGGTGCTTTTCTGCCCAAAACTATGCAGAAGGAATGCTGTGGTAGACAGCGTTCTTTTTCCCCTCCCATAGAAAATGATTTGTTGTTTACTCATAGCATCTTAGTCACTGCATTCCTTCCTTCCTGATACAAAATGCAGGACTGAGTTAAGCATGGCTTTGTTTGGCTATGCATGCACTTCTATAGAAGATGAAATGCTTCTCTTTAAGACTGAATGGAATAACGAAGTTCATTTTTTATTCTCATCTTGCTGACTGATGCCCATCAAGGCCTACTCTACAGGGCCTTGAGCAGAATCTGTCCTCGCAAATGCCCTGACCACGTTTGTGAGGCCCATGTGAAGATCCCTACAAGTAGCACACAGGGCTGCCTTGTGAGCTTATCAGTGTATTCCGTGCTTCAAATTTAGCTTCTCAGTTTTATTTTTAAGAAATAGTTCCAATTTTATCACTGTAATATGGAAACATAGCAGGTTTTCTATGTTTATGTGCACCTGTGCACACCTCTGTGAAATTTCCTGTAGGTGCTTTCCAGAAATAGAGTAACTTCCAGAGACCTCTCCAACTTCTAAGAAGAAAACAAAATCCTTCTCTCATAGTACTATATCATGGAGTGATTAAAAGTATGGGCTCTGGGCTGGGTGTGGTGGTTCATGCCTGTAATCCCAGCACTTTGGGAGGCCGAGGTGGGTGGATCACCTGAGGTCAGGATTCAAGACTAGCCTGGCTGACATGGTGAAACCCCATCCCTACTAAAAAACACAAAAATTAGCCAGGCTTGGTGGCATGTGCCTGTAATCCCAGCTACTCAGAAGGCTGAGGCAGGAGAATTGCTTGAATCTGGGAGGCACAGGTGGTGGTGAGCTGAGATTGCGCCACTGCATTCCAGCCTGAGCAACAAGAGCGAAACTCTGTCTCTAAACAAATAAAAATAAACTTGGCTGGGCGAGGTGGCTTACACCTATAATCCCAACATTTTGGGAGGCCGAGGTGGGTGGATCACCTGAGGTCAGGAGTTCGAGACCAGCCTGGCCAACATGGTGAAACCCATCCCTACTAAAAATACAAAAAAATTAGCTGGGAATGGTGGCACGTGCCTGTAATCCCAGCTACTCGGAAGGCTGAGGCAGGAGAATCCAGGAGGTGGGGGTTGCCGTGAGCTGAGATCATGCCATTGCACTCTAGCCTAGGCAACAAGAATGAAACACTGTCTCGAAAAGAAAAAGTGTGGACTCTGGGAGAAAATTTCTAGGATTCAAATCCTAGTCCTACTACTCAATAGCTGCATGAACACACTGGGGCCTATCATGGGGAAGGGGGAGGGGGGGAGGGATTGCATTGGGAGTTATATCTGATGTAAATGACGAGTTGATGGGTGCTGACGAGTTGATGGGTGCAGCACAGCAACATGGCACAAGTATACATATGTAACAAACCTGCGCGTTATGCACATGTACCCTAGAACTTAAAGCATAATAATAATAAAAACTAAATAAAAAAAAATAGCTGCATGAACTTGGGCAGTTACTTAAACATTCTCACCTTGATTTCTTCATCTGTAAAATGGGAATAACAGTACCTACCTTACAGTACTCTTGTAAGGTTTAACATACGTAAAATACTTAGACTAGCATCTGACACAAAGTAAGTGCTCAGTACATATTAAAATGTATATATACATTACATATTATTACAGTGACGCATAACTGGTGGGCTAGTATGGATGGAAGGATGGGTGGATGGAGGTGACAGATGGATAGATAGCTGGCCTGGTGTTTGTCGGGCATTTAATACAGTGAGAGCAATTTAGTTCTCTTCATGTAGTCTGGGCTTGTTATTGATTCAAGGCCCAAAAGGTCAAGTAAGGATAATTATTTTGGCCCAGCCTCAGGGCAGCTGTATTAGATACACTATGCCCTTTTAAAGTTAAGTCCATTGGGGTTATTATACTGTGAATCATAAGAAACGTACTTATTATAGTTGGTGCTGGTTGAAAGTGATTAGGCTCTCGCCATTAGAAGTCTATTTCTTCCATTGTCCACTTGTTCATGGCACATGCATCTTCCTCAGACTATTATAGCACAAAGATCCAGGCAAGTGAGTGTTCCTATGGATGTGATGGTCTATTAAAGCGTAAAATAATTTTGGTAGAATGGTGAAGCCCTGTCTCTACTAAAAATACAAAAATTAGCTGGGTGTAGTGGTGTGTGCCTTGTAGTCCCAGCTACTCGGGAAGCTGAGGCAGGAGAATTGCTTGAACCCAGGAGGCAGAGGTTGCAGTGAGCCAAGACTGTGCCACTGCACTGCAGCCTGGGTGACAGAGCGACACTCCATTGCGGGGGAAAAAAAAAAAAAAAGAAAAGAAAAGAAAAAGAAAAGAGAAAAAAAGAAAGAATGGCAAAATGTTTGATTGCATGGAAAGAAACTTTCAGTTGATATTTCCAAAGCATTCCTGGTTGCCCCCATGACCAGCTGTAATGACACTTAAATAATATATTGTTTTCTTAGAAATCTTTTGAAATTGCTGTTGAAATACATCACCTAAAAAGTTTCGGTTTTAGTAATTTAGGAAGAGCTAATATAATTCAATTTAGCAACACTTGTGAAGCACTGCATATTTTCTAGGCTCTCTCCTGTTGAAGGGAGTGTAAAGATGAGGGATAGAAGGCAGCTTACCATTGAGTAGGGAGACAGAGAAATACCAGATATCTATAATACAATGCAAGATATCATTTGTACAAATTTTTGTGAGGGCTCCATTGAGCCAGGGGTTATATATTATGGTTAAAAGTTCTTGAGAAAGAGGTAGCATTTAACATAAGCACTTAAGTACTGGGAGATTTTTTAATCCAAAAAGTGAACTGTTGGAATTCTGAGCAAGGAAAATCTTAAGCAAAGGTGTAGAAGCAGAAAAACATGTGGATGTTTGGGAAATAGTGAAGGCTACAAGGGTTGGCTTGGCTGGATCTTAGAGCTGTAAGGAAAGTAATAATAGATAGGTTGAGAATTACAGTTGATCATATTGTAGAGAGTTTGTTCTTGATTAAACAGCATATAAGAGCTATTAAGAGTTCAAATATGGGAGCG